GGGTCTGGGACTTGAACTGTGGTCGACTACGTGGGAGTTCAGCAACATAGCCATTATGACATCTGCTGGTCCCAAAAAGGTCTTTTAAAGAAATGTTCATGGAGCCAGCAGGTGGCATGGTGGTTAAGGGCACTGGACTCCCACTTTGGCCAGCTGCAGTTTGAGTCCCTGGCCTGGAGGCTTGCTTTGTCTTTTCTCTTCTCTCTTCTCTCTCACTGTCTCACTCTGTCCCTCTCTGGTCAAATTAAAATAAATAAAGTTGAATAAAATAATTCTAAAAAAAAAAAAAAAGGTCTTTGTGGACCCCCAAAGTCATGAAGAGAGATTTTTGCTATAGGATGTGTGTGCTTGCCAGAGAGACTGAGAGACAGAGACAGAAAGCAAGAAATCACCCCGTAAGGGGAGATGACCACGCTGCAATCCCCCCTCCTCCATTCTCCTCTTGCGATCTTGGGCACGCACGCGCACACACACACACACACACACATACACACACACATACACGTCTGGCCTGAGTTTTAAGCGACTGGGTCCAGGACTCAAACCATAGTCGACATCATGGGGAGTCCAGAGACGTAACCATTAAGCCATCTGCTGGTCCCTATAATCCAATTTTTTTAAAAAAATTATTTAACTGTATTCATTTATTTTAATTTGATCAGAGAGAGACATGGTGAAAGAGAGAGGGAAAATGAGAAAGCTTCTTATTTTTTAATTTTATTTATCATTATAATAATCCTCCCCAACTTGACCAGAGAGAGAAAGAGACAGAGACAGAGAGAAAGTGAGAAGGCAAGCCTGTAGGTCTGGGATCCGAACCGTGGTTGGCCATGTGAGAGTCCAGCGCCTCAACCACCACGCCACCTGCTGGCCGCTAAACAGCTCAGTTTGGGCCTTTCCCTCCTACCTGCTTATGACCACGGGCCATGGTGGGTGGGGGCAGATGGCTGCTGGGGGCCAGCCTCGCACAGGTGTGGGAGCCCCACTGCTCAGTCCTCCAAAGAGACCAAGCGGGGGCTGGCACTTGGCTTGGCGGTGAAGGCGCTAGGTCTCATGCGGCCGACTGAGTGGGTTGAGTCCTGGACCCGGCAGATCGAGAAACACGCTGGTCCCGGGTGCCCGGAATCTTGAAAGGAGGGGGAGGTGGAGAAGGGGCTGCAGTGTGGCCCTGCCCTTGGGGGTGCCTTCTCACTGCCCCTCTCTGTCCCTGGCCAGTGCGCATGCCCTCCAGCAAATTCAAAACCAAACCACACCCAACAGGGAGACCAGAGCAGAAACCGGACCCACGAACAGGCAGGGTGGGCATGCTGAGAGCAGTGGGCAGGCGGCTGGGCGGCGGCCTGGGGGCAGCAGCTTGCGGCCCTCCCGTGCTGCGCGGGTCCAACCCTGGTGGGCCGGCCTGCGGGTGCGGGCTTCCGGTCGGGGTGTCTGGATCGGTCTTGGCCGAACTAGCACTTAGCACCAGATGCCAATTGTCACACCAAATTCCCAGGCCAGCAGGTGGCGTGGTGGTTGAGGTGGCTGGTTCCCACATGGCCCGCTCCACGGTTCCCTGGAGTCAATGACCTCGGGACCTGAGCCGAGGGTGCGAGGACTGAGAAGGGACTGCGGAGTGGCCACGCCTCCGGGGAGTGATTTCTCGCTCGCTATGCCCTCCCCGGTCTCTCTGGCGAGTACATGCACCCTAGAGCAAACTAAAACAAATTAGTCAAATTTTTTTTTTTTTTTTTTTTTTAAGATTTACTTAGAGCACAGCAATTGGCGTAATGGCTATGTTGTTGGACTCTCATGTAGCCCACCACAGTTCGAGTTCTGGACCCGGTGACTTTAAACTCACGCCGGGCGCTTGTGCGTGCGTGCCCAGGATCCCGAGAGGAGAATGGAGAAGGGATTGCGGGGTGACCATCCCTCCCCGGGGGATATGTGGGAGGCTGCACACCAGCGGAGGTTTCTCAGAGAGCAAACAATTGCCATGATTGGTTCCCTTCAAAAAAACCTGACCTTCAAAACTTTGCTCTGATTGGCCACTAGAATCCCTCAAATTTGCATATCTGCCACCTCATGTTTGGTCCAAAAGCAACCAATCATAACCCACCGTTTACAACCAATCACAGCCCACCATTTACAACCAATCAGGGCCCACCATTTACAACCCACCGGAGTGTATATAACCCCGATGCCTGGCCCACAGTAGCCGGACGAAGACGACCAGGATGGCGACCAGGAAGATGACTGAAGAAGCCTGAAAAGCTGAAACACTGTGCAGTCTCCGGAAGACCCTGAAGAACTGTGACACCGCGTCGTCTCTGTGATGCTCATGGTAGACGACGCGACCCTTAAGAGCTGTGACACTGCGTCGTCTCTGTGCTGTACCGTGCTGCCCACAATAAACCGACGACACTGTCATCTCCGTGCCGTAACACTACGCCGCTTGTCCCGGCTCTCACTCCTTCACTCAGGAAACCCGTTCGGCTGTCCCCCCACCCCCGGGTTGGGACACCTGGTGCCCGAACAGGCACGGGACAGGGGTGATTTCTCACTGTCTCTATGTCTCTCTCTCTCTGTCTTTCTGGCAAGCCCACGTGCCCTATAGCAAAAATCTCTCCAAAAAGAAAAAAAAAAAGGATTATTTCTTTGTTATTCTTCAATGTGAGCACAAAGAGAGGGAGGGAGAACGAGAAAGCAAGCTGCCAGGTCTGGGATTCTAACCACAGTCGGCCATGTGGGAGTCCAGTGCCCTAACTGCCGCGCCACCTGCCAGGTCCAAAATCAGTCAGATCTTTACACAGCACGTTTTTTGGGTTTTATTTTGTCCATGTTGTTTAAATCTTGAATATAATTTTTCTTTTTTAACACACAAGAAAATACTCCATGTACCCACGGAACATGACGGGCAGGCGTGTCCGGAGCGAGCGTGGCTGCCCGCCCCCGCGTCACGTACCGTTGGTGATTGTCTCGGTCCCTGGGGCGCTGCCGGAGCAGGGCCCACCTGTGCCACACCTACAGGGTCCTGCTGGGCTCTGAGGGCTACAGTCTGTGTTCCCTACAAGAACAGGATGCAGTGGCGGGGCCATGGCGGAGGGGTGGGCGGGTGGTCACTCGGCTCCATGATTGCGGGAAGGCTCCCGGGAGGGCTGCCTGGTGGAGGTGGCCCTGAGGCTCCTCAGTAGGGGATGTCGTTCTGATAGTACTGGATCATGTCGTAGGTCCGGCTCCTGGAATGCCAAGAGAACAGTGAGGCTGGGAGGAGCACTGCCCTGGGGTCCCTTACCCCGGGAGCCTCTGCACTCTGGTGTCACCGCAGGCCCCGGCTGCCTAGCTCCCGGAACGT